GCCACCAGAACAGCCCATGTCCCAATCAGTGATGGTGTCCCATGTCCCTGAGGAACCCAAAAGTGTTCCACGTCCCTGAGGAACCCGAAAGTGTCCCACATCCCTGAGGAACCCCAGAGTGTCCCACGTCCCTGAGGAACCCCAAAGTGTCCCACGTCCCTGATGAACCCCAGAATGTCCCACATCCCTGAGGAACCCGAAAGTGTCCCACATCCCTGAGGAACCCGAAAGTGTCCCACATCCCTGAGGAACCCCAGAGTGTCCCACGTCCCTGAGGAACCCGAAAGTGTCCCATGTTCCTGATGACACCAGACTATCCCACATCCCTGAGGAACCCCAGAGTGTCCCACATCCCTGATGAACCCCAGAATGTCCCACGTCCCTGAGGAACCCCAAAGTGTCCCACATCCCTGAGGAACCCCAAAGTGTCCCACATCCTCGAGGAACCCCAGAGTGTCCCACATCCTCAAGGAACCCTAGAGTGTCCCAGATCCCTGATGAACTCCAAAGTGTCCCAGAACCCTGAGGAACCCCAGAGTGTCCCATGTCCCTGAGGAACCCCAGAATGTCCCACGTCCCCGAGGGTCCCCGGGGTGTCCCCCCACGCCGGGTGCCAGCGGCCGTACCGGTGCCGCAGCGTCCGAGTACCAGGACAAGGCTCTGCGGAAGTGCTGCGAGGACGGGATGCGGGAGATCCCGATGGATCACAGTTGTGAGCAGAGGAGCTCCTACATCCAGGAGGGCGAGTCCTGCGTCCGCGCCTTCCTCGACTGCTGCAAGTACATCCAGGGCATCCGCCAGGAGAAGCGGCGCCAGAGCAAGATCCAGCTGGCACGAAGCAAGTGATGGGACGGGGCGGGACGGGGGGAACGGGGGACCGTGGGTGGTCCTACAGGGAAGGGAGGGAAGGTTGGAAGTTCCTTGGGTGTTCCTTGGGTGTTCCTTGATGGGGAAGGTTGAGTGTTCCTTGGGTGTTCCTTGGGAGAAGGTTGAGAGTTCCTTGGGTGTTCCTTGGGTGTTCCTTGGGGGAAGGTTCGGAGTTCCTTGGGAGTTCCTTGGGAGTTTCTTGGATGTTCCTTGAGGGAAGATTTAGGAGTCTCTTGGGTGTTCCTTGAGTGAAGATTTGGGAGTCTCTTGGGTGTTCTCTGGTTGAAGGTTGGGTGTTCCTCGGGTGCTCCTTGGGTGAAGGTTGGGAATCTCTTAGGCGTTCCTTGGGGGAAGGTTGGGTGTTCCTTGGATGAAGGTTGGGTGAAGGTTGGGAGTTCCTTGGGTGCTCCTTGGGGGAAGAGTTGGGAGTTCTTCGGGTACTCCTTGGGTATTCCTTGGGGGAAGGTTGGGTGAAGGTTGGGTGAATTTTGGATGAATTTGGGGTGAACTTGGATGACTTTTGGGTGAATTTTAGGTGAATGTTGGGTGAACATTGGATGAACTTGGGAGGAAAGTTGGATGAATGTTGAGTTACATTTGAGCGAGTGTTGGGTGAATGTTGGTGTATTTTGGGATGAATTTTGGGTGAATTTGGGATGAATTTTGGTTGAATTTTGGGTGCATTTTTGGTGAACGTTGGGTGAATTTTGGATGAATTTTGGGTGAATGTTGGGTGAATGTTGGGTGAATTCTGGGTGTCTTTTGAGTGACTTTTGGGTGACTTTGGGGCAAAGGTTGGGTGGGCAGCCCCAGGGGGTGCCTGGCCGGTGCTGGGGTGATACCGGCTCCGCTCAGGGGTGGCCATGAGACCACGGACGAGAGGGATGCCCCCATCCCCAGGCGAGGAGGACGAGGTGTTCCTGAGCGACGAGGCCATCACCTCGCGGAGCCTCTTCCCCGAGAGTTGGCTGTGGCAGGTGGAGCAGCTGACGGAGGCCCCCAACGATCTGGGGTGAGCCCTGCCCCTGTCCCTCCACCCCCTGACCCCCGGGGGTCACCTCCCCCTCCCTGACCCCCCCAAATCCACACCGAGGTCACCCCTGACCACCCAGTGCTGCCTCAGGACCACCTTGGTCCACCCAGGGGTCATCCCAAACCCCCTGGTCTGTCTTGGGGGCCAGCTGTGACCCCCCCAAATCCACACTGAGGTCACCCCTGACCACTCAGTGCTGCCTCAGGACCACCTTGGTCCACCCAGGGGTCACCCCAAACCCCCTGGTGCTGCCTCAGGACCACCTTGGTCCACCCGGGGGTCATCCCAAACCCCCTGGTCTGTCTTGGGGACCAGCTGTGACCCCCCCAAATCCACACTGAGGTCACCCCTGACCACTCAGTGCTGCCTCAGGACCACCTTGGTCCACCCAGAGGTCACCCCAAACCCCCTGGTGCTGCCTCAGGACCACCTTGGTCCACCCAAGGCTCATCCCAACCCCCCTGGTCTGTCTTGAGGACCAGCTGTGACCCCCCAGCTCCATCCTGGGGGCTGGTGACACCCCTCAGGGTGGGGTTGGGGTGGGTTGTGACCCTCCTGGTCCCCCCCTGCCCTCCCCAGGGTGTCGACGAAGACCCTGCCCGTGTACCTGAAGGACTCCATCACCACCTGGGAGGTGCTGGCCGTCAGCCTCTCGCCCAACAAGGGTATGGCACCCAGGGGGAGGGTGGCCCCGGGCACCAAAGGAACCTCCAGACCCTCAGGATTGGTCCCCTGAAGCCTGGCAGGTCTCCTTGGGGCTTGAGGGATCCCTGGAATCTCAGGGGGAGATCCTGTCAGGCTTGGTGACCATCCTTGGGGCTTGAGGGATCCCCTAAACCCGGAGAGGACTCAGTGGGTCTTGAGGGATGTCCTAAGCCTTGGGAGGACTCCTTGGGGCTTGAGGGATCCCCTAAGCCTTTGGAGGATTCCTTGGGACTGGTGGGAACCTGAGCCTTGGGAGGACTTCTCGTGTTTTGAGGGATCTCCTAAACCTTGGGAGAAGTCCTTGGGGTTCAAGGGATCTCCTAAACCTTGGGAGGACTCCTTGGGACTGGTGGGATCCTAAACCTTGGGAGAAGTTCTTGGGGCTCAAGGGATCTCCTAAACCTTGGGAAGACTCCTTAGGGTTCAAGGGATCTCCTAAGCTGTGAGAGGACTCCTTGGGACTCAAGGGATCCCCTAAACCTTGGAAGGACTCCCTGGGACTGGTGGGATCCTAAGCCTTGGGAGAACTCATTGGGGTTCAAGGGATCCTCTAAACCTTGGGAGGACTCCTTGGGACTTGAGGGATCCCCTAAACCTTGGGAGGACTCCAAGACATTCCAGGGATCCCCTAAACCTTGGGAGGACTCCTTGGGACTGGTGGGATCCTAAGCCTTGGGAGAACTCCTAACCCTTGGGAGGGACTCCTTGGGACTGGTGGGATCCCCTAACCCTTGGGAGCACTCCTCGGGACTCAAGGGATCCCCTAAACCTTGGGAGGACTCCTCGGGACTCAAGGGATCCCCTAAACCTTGGGAGGACTCCTTGGGACTCAAGGGATCCCCTAAACCTTGGGAGGATTCCTTGGGACTTGAGGGATCCCCTAAACCTTGGGAGGGACTCCTTGGGACTCAAGGGATCCCCTAAACCTTGGGAGGATTCCTTGGGACTTGAGGGATCCCCTAAACCTTGGGAGGGACTCCTCAGGACTCAAGGGATCCTCTAAACCTTGGGAGCACTCCTCGGGACTCCAGGGATCCCCCAAACCCCCAGGAGAACTCCGAGAGATCCGAGGCACCCCCTAAACCCCGGGGGGTGACTCCTGGGGGTTCTGAGGGCTCTCTGAAGGCCTCGGGGCCATCCCAGAAACCCCCCAATCCTGTCCTGCCCCCCCCCCACCCCCCAACCAGGGCTGTGTGTGGCCGACCCCTACGAGATCACGGTGAGGAAGGATTTCTTCATCGACCTGCGCCTGCCCTACTCGGTGGTGAGGAACGAGCAGGTGGAGATCCGAGCCATCCTCTACAACTACTGGCCCCAGGAGATCACCGTGAGTGGGGACCCCAACCCCCGGGGAGGGGGGGAAAGGGGAGGTTTTGGGTTGGGGTGGGGGGTCTGTGACCTCCTGGATCCCCCCTGGAGAAGCTCCAAAGTTGGCCACGAGGATGGGGGGGTCCTTTCTAAACCGGGATATCCCGAGATTTTGGAGCTCGAGGAATGTTTGGAAGAGGGTCTCAGGGCCATGGTGGGATTTTGGGATCCTTGGGGCTTCCTTCCAGCTGAGGATATCCCATGATTTTAGAGCTCAGGAAATGTTTGGATGATGCTCTCAGGCACTCGATGGGACTTTGGGATCCTCGTGGGTACCTTCTAAATTAGGATATCCCGAGTTTTTGGAGCTCAGGGAATGTTTGGATGAGGCTCTCAGGCACCTGGTGGGATTTTGGGATCCTTGGGGCTCCCTTCCAACTGGGGATATCCCACGATTTTAGAGCTCAGGGAACGTTTGGACGATGCCCTCAAGCACTTGGTGGGGTTTTGGGGAGTCCTGGGCAGGGTTGGACTGGATGATCCTCCTGGGTCCCTTCTAAACCAGGATATCCCACGATTTTAGAGCTCGGGGAACGTTTGGATGAGGCTCTCAGGGACTTGGCGGGATTTTGGGGCGTCCTGGGCGGGGTCGGACCGGACGATCCTTGGGGGTCCCTTCTACCACCTCCGGGCGTTCCATGACTCTGTGCCCCCCCCGTGCCCCCCCGCCCCCCCCCCCGTGCCCCCCGTGTCCCTCCCTGTGCCCCCCAGGTGCGAGTGGAGCTGGTTCACAACCCCGCCATGTGCGGCCCCTCCACGGCCAAGCAGCGCTTCCAGCAGATCCTGCGGATCAAGGGCGGGTCCTCCCGCACCGTGTCCTTCGTGCTCGTGCCCCTCCAGCTGGGGCTGCACGACGTCGAGGTCAAGGCGGCCGTCAGGGACCTGTTCGCGGGCGACGGCGTCAAGAAGAAGCTGCGGGTGGTGGTGAGTGGCCCTCGGGTGGTGGTGAGTGGCCCCTGGGTGGTGAGTGACCTCCAGGTGGTGGTGAGTGGCCCTCAGGTGGTGGTGAGTGGCTCTCAGATGGTGAGTGGCCCTCGGGTGGGGGTGAGTGGCCCCTCGGGGGTGAGTGGCC